ATTGTTTAACATATGGCTCATAACAAACAAATCATTAATAATTGCCTACAGGCTCTGCCTCTATATCGCGTTAAGATTGTGATCATTGTGTAAAGGTTTCAATATTTTCTATTTCTTTATTTTATTATTTTTTCATTCTGCTTTTTAATTATATTTTTTAATTTTAAGTTTTTTTGAACATATTAAACATTACAATCGTGACTTTTAAATATTTTTTGTAACAAATGTTTATAATTCGATGGTAGGTACCATAGAACTCAGGTACCCTAATGACGTACCTAGACTAATAATTAATTACTTATTATATAAGCTTAATGGATCGAATTTTTTCTCATTTAATAGTTGTTTGTGGCATTTATAATGATCATAAACAAAAATATTGTTTTTTGAAAATCCTGGACGGGACAAAAAACAACTTTATTGACTTTCCTTTTTTCTCAAAATTATGATGTGATTTGAAAACCGGATTAGTATTGACCATCCAAAAACTTTAGAAAATGATTAACCTCGTTTTAGTTTTTTTTTTCTGTCAAACACTGTTAATAATACTGTACATATGTGTAATTTGTTTTATAATAGAGAATCATCCTGAACAGCCTTCATCAGATAATGCCGAACCGATAGCTCCATCATCTGATGACGAAATTAACAGTAAAACTGATGAGCCTCAAATTGAACCTAAAATACTTTATGCATCAAAAATACTAAATGCATATAAAATAAAAAAATAAAACAAATTTCCAAGCATCGATGAATGTTTATTGGAATGCTTCTTCTATAACTTGGACTCGGAACCTAATTCAGAAAACGTTACTTTTTACGTCTAATTTTCCTTTAATGTAATCTTACATGTATTAAAATATTCTGCTGCACTAATCAAATTATAAAATATGGAAATGTCTATGCACTTACGATTAAATTATGCTTGAGAATTTTACTAATTGTAAGTAATGTAAAAGACAGACTATGTAAAAATTAAATAAAAAATTGATCGGTATAATATTGTTTTTAGTTTTATTTTATTCTACACACACACGTATAAAACTATTATAATAAAATTATAATTACTTTAATGAGACACATATTATCAAAAGATATACATTTACTGTAGTAAAAGAGACACATATTATCAAAAGACATACATTTACTGTAGTAAAAGTAAAAATCTAAAAATAATTCTACGTCCGCGCCGGCTATAAAAATTTCTAAAAAATACTGTTATATTCACTATTTATTCTTTAGATCAAGACTACAAAATATTTTTTTAGTTACCTTTTCATAACAACCAAATTTGTTATCAATTTGCTCAGAAATAAGACATTTACTTTAAAAAAGTTGTAGAATTTTCTACGCAAATTTACGTATTTCTTTGTAGACGTGTGCTCATATAAAAGAGTGTATACTTAAGACGAAAGTTACTTCTTATCATTATTGCAAGGACTCATAATTTGCTAGTAATTTAGATATCGAATATTCTGCAGTTACATACTTTACAATACGTTTACGTAAGATAATGATATAATTAATATAATAGCAATTGTGTGTACAGTGTCTCATTTTAATTAGTCAATTTTCTCCAAAATTATTGATAATACAAAAAGAAAGATGAAAATGAAACGATTTCGAGGAAATATTTTGATCTCCTTTTTTTTCTAGATAAAAGCTTCAAAAACCTATAAAAATCACCTCTATTTTTAAAAATAGTATTGTCCATTTTTCGAACATCGATTGTAGCTCATCTCAAAACAAATACAATGATCATAGACAAAATCACTCAAGTTTCAGCTGGATATGGAAAAATTCATCAACTGCAGGGTAAAACAAAATTCATCTTCTCTATACGAATGTGTTCTCGCGGATATTAGCTAAAAATTTTGAAAAAAATTTACTATCGGTGCTACATAAGAACTCAAAATTATCGTTTTTTGTTCTTTGATGTTATTTTTGTCGAAATTGATAGCCAAATTTGGAAAATAAATTTGTGCTCAGCAGGCAAAAATATATTCAAAAACAATTAAAATGCTAAAACAAATTTTTTGCAGGCTAGCTCTGTTGTAATCTTATTTCAAACTTAACATCAGACAATCATCTGTAATTGTAGATAGTAATAATTGCAGTGGCCATACAAAATAGTCACCGCCAAACGATAAGCGACTGGTTAAATAGTGGTTAAATGTAGGCAATTAACCACAATGATGACAAAGATAAGTGCAATTTATTCGCTGATAGTACGAACGCGTGTCCAATTAAGGCCGCAGCATAGACTTTTGCATAACGCATAACGCATAGTGCATAAGCGAATCAACTAATCAGAATCTTTCCTTTCCTCCCATTCCATGGAAAAGAAGAATTTCGATTAATTCCCTTATGCACTATGCATTATGCGTTATGCAAGAGTCTGTGTTGCGGCCTTTACTAGCCCCAATAATGATCGGCATAGCGCTTTACCATTCCGCATGGAATATTTTATGTAACATTAAGTCATAACTCAAGATGTGAGTCACAATGGCAAATTATATAATTTTAGGCAAATACTCCAAATATATATTTGAAAGCGTGGTACTCAATGTTATAAAACAAAATATTCTACCATGTAGAAAATATTCTACATGGTAGGTGGTACACCTTGCGTAATGCTAATGTCGGCGGTACTGTAACTTTCAAGCCTTATAACTCGCAAAGTACTGAATGAAAATGAACTTAACTATAGTGTTTTGGAAAGCTCTTGAGAAAAGCTATAAGAATATGTAATGAAAAAGGGGGGAGGGATTCCATTTAAAAAATTCATGTTGAGCTTGACTTGATCTTGACAACGTCATCCTAGGTCAAATAACTACTATCGTTGAATGAGTCTTTTTAAGCCTTACAACTTTTGTAAGAAATATTTTTTTCTAAAATGCATCGTTTATGAGATATTTGGGTATATCCCTACCCTGTATAAATGTTCTATAAATAAGTATGCATACTCATAATGCTATAATATCTTATATATTGTTGCAAATTATAATTTTTTTTCTACAGTCTTTTTTTTAGAAGACATTGTTCCGGAATTCGATCGGATATCCGACTCAAAAAACTGCCTTCCCAGATATCCAACCGGTTACCGGATATCCGATGTTACATTCTTTTCGGATATCCGATAATTTTATGATCGGGTGCATGCCTAACAATATTTCTTTTAAAACAACTCGATAAATCGTATATAATATATGGCAATACATATAACTAATAAAAATTATTAAATATAATTTATAAACTTATTTAAGTTGATTATGTTCTCTGATATTCCCCTTACATAATTTCAATAATTTAATGAACTGAGAGTTATCCTCCAGCTTTTGTTGGGATATTATTATCATGCACAACAATGCAACAATGTATTATAGCGTATCTTGGGAAATATGCATGTAAAATAACAGTTTTCAATAAAATGCATATTTTACACATTAACACGGATTACTAATCTGCTTGTTAGTGGTTGTATAAATTCTAACACACGGAGCAATATGTTAATTCATAAATCATTTAATTTCTATAGTTGTTATAAATTACCATTAAATAAATGGTACATTAAATAAAGATGTTTTCACACATTCATCTTAAAATTAATTACATTTTTTAGGGATAAGTCTATTCTGTTAGAATTGGATCTTATTAATAAAAAGTAAAATATTAGATGCCAAACAAGATATATGTTTAACTATTTATAATATAATCTAAATTTAATAAGATAGCTATAAATGGAAGAATATATATTCTTCAAACATATTTAGTTTAAATTTATGCAATATTTTAAGACGATCGTTTAAAATAGAAAAATTCGGTTCTTATTTACTTATGAAAGTCGTTTTTATTTATTATAAATGTTATTTCCGCCTTTATGGCCAACATGAATTTGACCACAATTGTTGCCACTTCGGCAGATTCAGCCACTTGAATTAAATAACATTTTGAGATTTTTATTTATTTATATTTGTAATAAAAATAAACTTGTTTTCTATAAGAAATTTAATACTTCAAAATATCAAAATTCAAAAATCGTTATTTACGACATACTATGAAAAACTATTGCAAAACCTATAACGAGTTAGATTGTAGAATCTATGATGACCCAACTATTACTGAAGTAGGTACCCTTGTAACGGATCCAATACAGCTACGGACTTCACAACCAAAATGATTATAATCGTAGTACTTGATACGAGTACGATGACAGTATGGATAAAATTGATGCGACCACAACAGTCGCAGATGAAACAAGTTTTACAATGGCTATACAATTTTCTAAAATATCTAATCACGTCATTATGTCCGAGATTTCAAACGACAGAGTAACGTTGAAATTCTAGATTGACCGAAATGATTATCATAACAATAGTGCCGAAAATCTGTGTAGAATAACAGGACAATTAAAGTACACAATATTTAACATGAAACTGTTGCCTATACTTTCGTCCATTCTTTCAAAGATTTCAAAATTGATATTAAATCAAAAAGAAAAACAACAATCAATAAATGTATAGAGATATATTCATCAGATATTTTTAACGATAAAAAAAATTAGATTTTCTTTATCTATCCTTAAATTTCCTACGCACATTATATAATTATTTAATCACACATGTACACTGAGAAAAAAAAGTTGCTGTTTCAAGAAAATATTAGTTGATTCAACTAAATATAACGGTCACGGACTGTCAAGAAAATATTTGTTAATTCAAACAAATAATATGTTTTAAATTACAAGATTTTGTTAATCTAAATATAAAAATATTTGAACTCTAAATAATCATTACGAACTAAACGCATTTAGTCAAGTTAACAACTTTTTTTTCTCAGTGTACACACAGAAGAATGTGTACTTAGTTATCGCTGTTGCAGTGACTCTGTATATAATTTTCTAGTAATTTAGATATCGAATATTCTGCATTTACTTATTTTATGTTATTTTTACGTAAAATGTAGATAATAACATGAGTATATATAGTTCTTGCAAGCGAGTACCATACAATAGTAAGTATCACTCTTTACACTTCAGAGCTACCTTCTTACAATCCTCTTAGAACATATTGGGTAAATACTTTTAAAAATATGTTATACAAATCGTTTACGCGTAAATGTTTAATACATATTAATGTATTACAATTTTGCTCTATTTCTCATAGTTTTTATTAGAACATCAAGGAAGAAGACACTGAAAGAAATCCGTAACAATGGTTTCCTTAAAATACGTAAGTTTTATTCAGTAATAGTTATTTAACTATTGCTTGCAATTTTTGCACGTTAATAACATCGAGGTCAATTGAAAAAGTTTTTGAATATTATGTTTATAATTTTTTGGAGTTTCCTTACAACTTATTTTTGTCTCCTTCGAAATATTCTCTTTTTTAGTCGATATCTCTCTCCTAATCAATCAAGAAGAAGAGAATTTCGAAGAGCATTTTTTCGACAAGGTTAATTAAATTATAAATACGCCCCAGAAAATTATAAAGGCTAAATTCTCAAAAACTTTTTAAACAAGATCACATCTTTGAAATAAATATGATGTGTGTTAAAAATTTCAGGTCGTATTTTCCTTACTAATGATGATGCTAGTGCACCATTATGCTGAATCTATGGAAGTTTTAAGGCAGTCTAACGTACAAAGAGGTATGCCTCTACGATATCTATTAAATATACGTCTACGGAGTGTCCCGAAATTCGAGGGAAACGTTATTGCAGCATGAAATTTCATGAACAATTAAGTAACAAAAGTATATAAGTCACTTTTTCCGCAAAGCAGTTTTTTTAAGTATAAATGTTTAAAGTTTGACTAATCATAAATGTCATATGGACAGATGACTTTTTAACCAACGCTAATGATTAGTCAAACTTTAAACGTTTATACATAAAAAGACTGCTTAACGGAAAAAATGGCTTATATTTTTATTATCTAATTTTTCACAAAGTTTCGCGTTACAATATTATCCTCTAATTTCAGGACATCCTGCAGTATACTTACAATAGGAAGTACATCAATTACTAATATTGATTTATTTTGCAATTGAAAAAAAACCAATGAATAATGTTCCAATTGAAACAGATTCATCAGATAAAGAACGAAGTTATTCATCAGAGTCAAGTGAAGAAGAAGAACATGAACAAGAAAATGAAGACAGGAATCAAGTACCAGAACAACGTTGTGGATCAGGTAATGCAGGTGGTGCAGGTGGTACAGGTGGTGCAGGTGGTACAGATGGTACAGATGGTACAGGTGGTGCAGGATCAAATATGTTATACAGGAACTGGAAGTAACCGAAAGGCTACTAATTCAGAGTGATCAAATAGACACCATACTGCATCAACTGGTACAATACAAGAACTAGAAGAAGAGAACACCCGCCTTTCCAAATGACAACTAAAGAAATATATAAGTCTTTGATGAATAATTATTAGAAAGCTTATTCTAATTTGGACTATAAATTAACTAAGAAAACATTACTTTTGTTTCTCTAATCTAGTTCTTTAATCAAATCCTATAAATATCAAAATAAGCACTAATCTTTCACTATAAAATATGATCATTTCTACGCACTTATAATTATATAATAAAAAAAAATTAATAACCAAATAACGGCCTAATTGTAAAAATAAAATAAAAGATTAAGCAGCAAAATATTTTTCTCAATTTTATTTCGTTTTACATAATAAAACTATTATGATTAATTCATCTAAATATGAGAAACGCCATTTGACGGTTAAAGTTAGATGTTGAGCTAATACATATACGTATTCTTTGAATAAATTTATCTCAGAAATATGATTGCACGCCATTATTATCGGACTTTCAACGCATCTGCCTGAAACATTAATCATCCCTCACAAGTTTAATCTCAAAAATCTTATTATTATTATAATTAAATTATAAACTGTAGATAAAAAAAAATGCTCAAAAATTATATAATCATTAATATATGTATATTTAATATTAAAGCAGATAATGCAGAACTGCGAAAAAATCAACATTACTGAGATTAGTCCAAGCGTATTTTTCAAGATGTCTCTAAGTTTGGTATTTCAAATTTATCTCAATGATGTATTCTTCGCGTGCAATGATAATACAATACATTATCCAGTCCGGAAAAAAAATTAGTGGTATCATCACTTCATAAAATAGTGCAAATACAGCATTCGAATATGCTAACAGGTCCAATATTATGGTCATATATCAGTACAATAAAAATTATTAAAAAATAACAATTCTAAAAAGGATCAATGTTATATTAATTTGTAAAATATACAGTACGCTGTAAACTATTTTAAACTCAATTATTCAAGAAACTCTAAGTAATTTCAAAAGAAATCAGTCATACATTGTTATTTATTTTACTATTATTAGTATCACATGATGGTATGCTCTTTCTGTTTTGACATAAACAACTTACAATCTGATCGGTTTTTACAGAATTTATACTTGTTGCACAAACTTGTATTTTTGTATGCGAAGAGTCATCTCAGAAATAGTAATCTGTGCGCTTCTGAAATATTGATAAACATATTGTCATAATTTTCGCGGCCATAAGAACTAAATACAAAATACGAGCGTGCAGACGATGATGCGCTGGTACTATTATATAACACGGCTATTATATAACATCTTGCCTTCATCTGAACGTGATTAAAAATAGAGATTAAAGGACAAGAATGCGTAAAATGTCACAGAATAAATGCGCATTGGGCTAGCAAGATGGAAAAAAATCCTCCGATATTCGCGCGAATGCCTGGTCCCTTTAGGCGAGAGAGTAATTGGGTAATTGGTATGGCGTTGAGGCAATTTCCGACGATTACCGGAGGAGGTGGACAGGTATCATCGCGCAATAGAGACTTCGGCATCAATGGTGATACAATGGAATGCGAAATAGAGGTCGTTGACTGGCCGAGTCAAACTCTATTAGCGCTCCTAAGATGTATTATATATGTTAAAACAATAGTTCTTGACCACTCAAATATTATTCGTTTGCCAATTCTATGGTGCATAATAAATATAACTAGAAATTTTATTGTTTCTTTAACATTAGCTCGTTTTTAATCAATTTTAATATAATTTATAGTAAGATGTTAAACTTATCGAGAATTGTACGAGAAAATGTTAACTTCTTAATAAACATTTTTCTTTTTAACGCTAGAAAAAAAATTTTCCTTTAGGAGCACTATATTTTAATTTACCGTGGACGTATCATATATTTATATATAAACGAGCTGTAGGAAGAGGCAACAAGCAAAAAGTTTCGTTTCAAAAGTGCAATGCGTTTATTGTTATTATATGTATAACGTTATATTATATGAAATTTTGTTATGTACACATATGTAAGAAATATATATAATAATGAGAAATATGCTGAATGACAAAAATCATGATGGAGATTGTAATCGAGATTGTGTGTGTCTAAGAGATCATTATCGAAGGTCTTTAGTTCATGTTGCCAGGTGACATGAATTACCAGTGTTCAGAACACGGTGAATTAGGTAATATCATTCATGCATATCCACCGTGTTCTGTAGCGATACTATCGAATGGGTCAGCGATCAGAGTTGGACCTGCGATAGATTCAACGAGAGCAGCTGAATATACAGTAGGATTAACAATCTTTGCTCCATATGGACTTATATAAAAAGTATAAAGAATATAATTTCTTTATTTGAAATACAACAAAATAAGGGACATGCGTATTTTTTTTAAACATAAATGTAATGATTCTTTAAACAAAGCTTCTTATATATTTAAATTGGCAAATTCGGAATAAGCAAATAATTATATTGATCCATTTCTGTGGTTATGTATAAAATAATATATTTTTTGGAGAAAACGCTAGTTTTATCAGTAATATACAGACGGTTCTAGCATCCTCTTAAATTTGCAAAATATCGGTTATTATTTTTTCTACTTAGTTAATAGTTTATTTTTTTTTTATCGAAAATGTATTACGGAAAAAGGATTTATCGTGAATAAATTTCAGAAGCTGGCTGCATTCGGATTGGACGTACACACGCTTCATAAGCTTTATTCTATTTCCCTTCCTCATATAATGAGCGATAAAGATACAACAAAGCTTACGGCGCGTCGAACCAAACGCAGCCAAAGTTTAAAGTTACAATAAATTTTTTTTAGTGATATATTTTCAATATAAAAAATTAGTAATTAATAATATTTTGAAAATATATTTGAGAAGTAATAAGAGTAATTTCTGTATACATATACCTGCATACTAAGATTTTGTCTAAATATTAAGTAAAATTGCATTTTTTAAATGTTGTCATGTTTATTCTGTAACCAGTTGAGAAATGGACAGAATGATTTTCATGAATGGATAAGATACGAATAAATATGGTAAAATTTTAATTTTATTTTAGTAACTGTAACCAGTAAGACATACTTATTTGTCATAAAATAATGAAAGCAATTTTAGTACATAATTTTTAATAACATTTAAAAAAACTTGACAAATAAAATGAAATATTAAAAGCTAAATAAGACACATGTTAAATTATTTATAATCTAGAATTAAATAAGATAGCTATATAAATGGAAGAATATTTTCTAAATGTTTCGTGTAAATTTATGCAATAACTTAGGATGATTAAATGAGACAGAACAATTTGATTATTTGTAAGAGTCGTCTATATATTTATTACGAATGTGTACCTTTGTCACCAGATGAATTTGACCATAATTCCATTAACAATCGTAACTGCTGGTGCGATGATCGCTCTCGCAGACTCATCCACAATACGTGAAGTTACAATTAATAACATTTTGAGGTTACTATATTTATTCATATTAGCAACAAAAATAATTTCTATAAAAAATTCGAATTACTTTAAAGTAATTAAAAAGTCATTATATGTAACAAGAATCACAACTGTTGCAAAATCTGTAACAAATCAGTTACGATCGCGGAATTTGTAGGTGACTCAGTCACTGCTGCTGAAGTAAGTCCAATCAGTTATGGGTCCTGCAATGGACCCAACTATTGCAGTTACGGAAATTACAAGTCGATTACAATCGCAGAACTCGATGCACGTCCGACGGCGGCGACAGAGGGTAAAATTGATGCAACCGCAGGTACAACAGGTTTTGTAACAGCCGTTGTCTGAAATATCCAGCATATTTGCGCCATTACGTCCGAGATTTCAACCAACAGAGTGAGATTAAAATTCTGAACTAATCGAGATGACTATCATTATATAACGATGACAAGAATCTATGTAGTATACGAGGATAATTAGAATATTTAACATGATATTTAATATAAAATTATTTTCTTTGTTTTCATCTTTTCTTCAGAAATTTAGAATTGATTTTACTAAATAAAAAAAAAGAAACAACAACCAATACACAGAAAGATTTATAAGATTAGATACACAAAAATATTCTAATCGACGATAAATAAAATTAGATTTTTTGATATCTATTTTCCTTGATTTTCTATGTAAATTGTATAATTATTTTATCACACACCAGACGAATCCACACTCAGAACAAAAATTGCTTGTCATCACTATTACAGTAACTCACATATATAATCTTCTAGTAATTTAAATATCGAATTCTATATTTATATAGTCTACACTGTTAAATTTTATAGGGTCAAATTAACTTAATGTGAGCCGCCACTGCTTCTACTCAATAATATCGTTATTTTTTTACTAAAACAATGGTTTGACACTATACAGTATCAATTTAACATTATATAGTGTCAAATTTAATTATCATTTTAGTAAAAAATAATGATATATTTAGTAGGAGCAGTGGCGACTCACATTAGGTTAAATTTGACATATAGATTTAACAATGTATACTAAAAAAAAAATTGTTCAACGAACTAAACACATTTAGTCGTTTGCAGTTTTGTATAATGCAATAAATTTTATTCAATCGAATTTAACCGCAGTCTGCTCAACAAACTGTTCAATGTTGGTTAACGGAAATGATTCAACCATTTGATTTATCATTTGAATAATCTTATATTATTTTTGCACGCACACGTGTTTTGTTATATAATAGATGATATTGATTAAAAGTTGACAAGATCAAAACATGTATTATTTCGTTTCCATGCAATCTCTTCAAATATTAATAATATTAAACAGTCAGCAGAGGCATAAAATTAAAAATAGTTACAGTAGGAGGTATAAGTAACGTTAACAATGACTCGCGATCACAAGCGTGCGATTAGCACAACATAAGTGTATTAGGTTACCGTTCTAGGGATTAGTAGGTTCAAATCTTGGCGGCGATGCGATGCGTTTTTCAATAAATAATTGTAGTTAATAAGATA